AGGGATGGTGTCCCTAGCCTCTGTTTGCCAGAAGCTGGGAATGGGTGACAGGGGATGGATCACTTGATGATTACCTGTTCTATTCATTCCCTCTGGGATACTGGCCACTGTCGGAAGACAGGATACTGGGCTGGATGGACCTTTGGTCTGACACAGTATGGCCCTTCTTATGTATGATTGCTGGGTAGTTATACTAAGTCGCACACCTGTACTCTGTATTTTGTTTTCTCCAGAATGCTCTTCACACTTGTTCACTCACGCTAAGGTATATCCCATAACACTTTGCACAGCTGAACTCTTGCTCTTGGCTCATACAAATACATAACCTGACAGAAACAAGATGTATGACTAATAAGTCCTGGTACAATTAAGAAGTGCCTCCACAGACACCTGGAATGAGGTATCCAAAACAAAAATAAGAAAAGTACAGGACAGTGCAGAAAAATCAGTATAAGAAACTGGTAGAGACTATTGGGGTTATGTATAGAGTGCCTTTAGCTTGTAAACAGCCACAATATAAAAATACAGATAGTCTTGAGTGCATACTTTGGAATCAGACCTATGCAAGGTGAACGCTATGAGTGGTATGTAGGTCTCCTTTTTATGTTGTACTGCTTTCCCTTTAACTAATAAACTGACTATGCGCAGCTATTTGCACTCAAATATTTTTGAACCGCAAGTGTAGTCAGGTAATTGGCTATATCTAGTCAAATTGCAAAATGGTGTAGAATTAGATCAATTAGGTACTTTTTGGACATAGATAATGTAGCTAATAATAAAATAATAATAATAATAATAATAATAAAGGTACAGACACCTTTTTTTATATAAACAGATTACAGTACATGCACCGATATATTTTATTACCCTGCATTATTTTGAAAGTTGTTTGATTGGAGAGAACTCCAGACTAAACCTTTTCCTGGTGATATACAGGATAGATCAATAGAAAAGAAATTATTACAGTTAGGAGATTGAAATTCTCTCTCCCCCCACATGATGTCAGCCTTTTCCTTCACATTGCTGTGTAAAGTAGCAAATATGGATGAACTCCTGGCCTACTGAAGTCTAGGATTTTTGCCACTGAAATCAGTGGAATCAGGATTTCATCCAACCTTTTTAAAAGCAATCTAAACCAAGCTACTGTACTCTGAATCAGAATTTGGTAACTATATCCATGATGTCTCACAATTTGCTAAAATGGATACCAATAATTAGCTTGTATTAATAATGGTCTATTCCATCTGAGGATGCTTAGACCCACCAATCAGTTGAACTGCAAGTCTGCTCTAGAAATTATTTTGGAGATGTTTGATGGTCTGTGTTATACAGGAGATCAGGCTAGATGATCACAATGTTCCCTTCTGGCCTTAGAATCTATGAAAACAAGACTTCTATTAACTCTAAAGATTAGAGAAATAATCAAATTTCAGTTTGACAGTGCAATTCTCTCAAAAATATTGTTAAAATACAGTGCCAGTTCTCTCCTTAAGAAAAGGAGTTCAGAACTGTCAGCTTTTGGGGGGGAGCGGGTGTCTACTTGCAAACAGGGCTGTCCTTAGGATTTATGGGGCCCTACACAGTATTATTAAACTGGTGCCCCTATGCCCGACTTGCTCTTATCAACACAAACATAAGCTTACAGTATTCTACAGAGGTGTGTAACTATTATCTCCCTAACACACACACCTTTATACAGCTGGACACACCCCTTTATACAGCTGATTCGTGGCGTTCAAGCTCCGGGAGGGAGGGAGAGGAGCGGGGACCAGGTGTGCTCGGGGAGGAGGCGGGAAAGAGGTGGATGGAGGCTTGGGGGAAGGGGTCGGGGGGGGGGGTGTCGAGCACCCCCCTGGCAAGATGAAAAGTTGATGCCTATGGTCCCAGTGCTGCCCCAAATTTTCAGGTGCCCTACATAGTCACATATGCCTAAGGACGGTCCTGCTTGCAAAGTAAGTTAAGTCAGCCACAATAAACAGAAGCAGAGAGAGCCATTCCATTCCCCCATACCAAATCCTGGCCAGGCAAACAAACAAAGTAGAAAAGTTTTGCCTACAGATATTTCAAGGGCACTGGGGGAACCAGAACCCTTGTATTCATCCTTGAGAAAGCCCAGGGCATCTGTGCAGCCTTGTCATTCCCATGTCTGGGAATTTCCTCTTTAAGATGGTGATGATGTTTCTTAAGTCATGAGAATGGGTATCTAATCTATACTGTAGTTTAGTGCAACACCACCTGAAATGGAAATTCAGATGCTTCAGTGCATATTCTTTGGTACTTAATATTTTTGTTCTTCAGAGAAACAATTAACAGCTCACTGCAGAATTTCTGTGTCACAGTATTCTTTAGAGATGCTGATGCAGACATAGCTATTTTACAAGTACTGGGTAAACTGTAAATTTCCTTGAACAGGCACTAAATAGCTCCTGGAATTTAGTAATTCTGCTTTCATTATGAAAACTGTGTGTCAACTTTTATTAGTTACCAACTATTTCTCCTACAAGGAACTGATAAACTCTACCAGATTCGCCAGCAGAACCTTGAAGCTTCTTGAAGTACAGCTATCCTAGGGGGTTGTTCGCAGACCTTCCTCTCTCCTTGTGCCCCACACTACTTACCTGGTCCCAATTACCATAGCATTGGAATGCCTCACAAACTTGAGTGACTTTATCCTCGCAGGCATCCCTGTGATGCAGCGTTCCCTCTAATTTTTCCCCACACATGTATCACATAACAAAACTCATTCCGCACATCACCTCCATACTGGTGCACATAACAAAATTCATGTGGTGGGGCCGAGGGGTTCGGAGTGTGGGAGTGGGGCTCAGGACTGGGGCAGAGGGTTGGGTTGCAGGAGAGGGGAGGGTTCTGGCTGGAGGTGCAGACTCTGGGGTGGGGCCAGGGATGAGGGGTTTGGGGTGCAGGCTGCCCAGGGGCTACAGCAGGGAGAGAGGACTCCCCCAGCTCTCTCTCCCTGCTCCCCCCCCGGGGGGGGGAGGGAGGAGGAAGAGGTGCCTCTCCCCCGGCTGCAGAACTGAGCCCTTGTGTGGGGCTTAATAGGCAGCTGCATAGCCGCACAGTTTAGAGGGAAACTTAGTCTGTGAGGTAGGAAAGAATTCTGTGCACATTGCACATGGAGACTGAGACACAGGCTACATCTACACTACAGGGGGGAATCGATTTAAGATACGCAAATTCAGCTACGTGAATAGCGTAGCTGAATTCGACGTATCACAGCCGACTTACCCCGTTGTGAGGACGGCGGCAAAATCGACTTCTGCAGCTTTTTGTCGGCGGCGCTTATTACCACCTCCCCTGGTGGAGTTAGAGCGCCGATTCGGGGATCGATTGTCGCGTCCCAACGGGACGCGATAAATCGATCCCCGAGAGGTCGATTTCTACCCGCCGATTCAGGCGGGTAGTATAGACCAGACCACAGAGATTAACTGACTTGCCAAGGACAACACAATAGGTTACAACAGGTACACCTCTACCCCGATAGAATACGACCCGATAGAACATGAATTCGGATATAACGCGGTAAAGCAACGGGGAGCCCTGGGCCCTTTAAAGCGCTACCTGAGCCCTGCTGCTTTACCGCATTACATCCGAATTCGTGTGGAGCCCCAGGCCCTTTAAATCACCGCCCAAGCCTGGCTGCCGGAGCCCCGGCGGTGATTTAAAGGGCCTGGGGCTCTCCACAGCAGCTGGAGCACCGGGTCCTTTAAATCCCCGCCGGGGCTCTGGCAGCCGGGCTTGGGCGGTGATTTAAAGGGCCAGAGGCTCGAGCCACTGTGGGGAGCACCGGGCCCTTTAAATCCCTGCCCGAGCCCTGCTGCCAGAGCTCTGGTGGTGATTTAAAGGGCCTGGGGCTCCCCGCAGCGGCCAGAGCCCTGGGCCCTTTAAATCACTGCCGGGAAAGCCGGTCCAGTCCGGCATGGCGTACCGGCTCTTGCCAGTACGCCGTACCGGCCCGAACCCGATATAACGCGGTCTCACCTCTAAGACGGTGAGATTTTTTTGGCTCCCGAGGACCGCATTATATCGGGGTAGAGGTGTACCTCACTACAGGATGAAGCTCTCTACAGCAAAATGTGCAAAACTAAGGTTTTGTCTTCACTGGAGATTTAATCCAGGTTCAATCATGAGTTTTCCCCTTAACATGTTCTATGTTCACACATCAATGCGCCTTTATTGCTGCTAGACAGTGAGGTGGCCACCTCGCTATGAGGTGGACCCCCAGTTAATTTATCTTGTTTGCATTGTAGCTAACCTTATGTTAGTAATACACAAAGGCCATAGCAAATCAACAAACCTCTATGAACCCTTTTTAAAAAAAAAAAAAAATTCACGTGGAGGGAAGGGAGACAAGGTGGGTGAGGTAATATCTTTTATTGGACCAACTTCTGTTGAGGAGAGAGACAAGCTTTTGAGTTACCCACAGCTCTTCTTCACATCTGGCAGGGCCAGCTCCAGGCACCAGGCAACCAAGCTGGTGCTTGGGGCGGCACCTGGAGGGGGGCGGCACGGCGCTCCGGCCGCCGGGGCTCGCCGCCCTGTCCCTGGCACTCTGGCCGCGGGGGGGGAGAGAGCCGAGCCCCCGCCAGGGCTCGCCGCCCCCCCCCCCCCGGGGGGGGGGGAGGGGCGGCCGGAGGCTTTTTTGCCTGGGGCAGCAAAAAAGCCAGAGCCGGCCCTGACATCTGGGAAAGGCAGTCTTATGATTTTTGATCTTTTGAGGCTGTCAGTATGGCATTTACCCACTGAGTTCAATGTGGCTACGCAGTATGTAAATCAGGGCAGAATTTAACCTTTGAAACTAGAGCAACCTCTAAGAAGGGTACAGTTCTGCATTAGCTTGTACAGATGTTCCCTCCTCTTCCCCGGCCTGCTGGCACTTATGTAGCTAGTGATCCGGTTTTGTTGGTGTGGTTTCTCATAACTCCTCCCACAGTGGGGAGGAGGCTGGGGGAAGCGGGCGTCAGAGAAACGGAATCAGCCCAGGTAAAAGAGCTGAAGCCAGACAGCAGTGGCTCGATCTTCCTGGAGCTAGTGCTCTGTGAGGAGGCAGGTAAGAGAGCACTTTCACTCTGTGTGTCTTTAACCGGAGACCAGATTTTTGTTTGTTTGTAAAGGTTCGTTGAGTTACAGCTAAGTCTGCCTGGAATCCGCTTCTCTTTATTTTTCCTGGACGTTTGGGTATACATACCGGATGTGTTAGTGTGTAATAATATTAATATCAAGGACTTTGGGGGCGATGAAATGGGAGAGGAGGGGGAAATATGTGACTCTTCGATTGTCTTCTTTCAGCAGACTTCCTTTGCTATTGCCGAAAAGGGAAAGTTAGTTTCAATTTCTCAGCCCCATGTTGTAGAGGCCGATAGTTTTTGCAATCTCTTACTAAATGCTAATGGTGGAACAAGCCTTCTAGATCCCCTCCCCCTGCTCCAGCTCCCAGCGCATTTCAGCCTCCTAGAATATGGTAATATCTTGTAGAATATTTAGACAAAGTTTCGCTCTTGCAAACGCATCCGCTCCTGTCACAGGAGGTTTTCAGACGCGATTGTTGTGTCCTGATCCCTCGATTCAGTTGCTTTTTCTGGTGTGCTGCCAAGGCTTGAAAAACTGGCCCACCGACTCCCAGCCGAAGGAGTAAGGCTGACCCCCCCCCCCCCCCCCCGTCAGACACGCCTTAGCCCCGGACAGCTGCCTGTCATTCCCTGGGACTCCTTTAAAGCGGGTAGGTTAAGTAGGGAAGCGGGTGTGCAGGAGAGGACACGGTCTCTTTACAGGGCCGGCTTTGGCTTTTTTGCCGCCCCCCGGCCCGCCCGGGAGCGCGGCAGAGAAGGGCGCCGGGGCCCCGCTCTCCCCGGCCGGCCGGAGCGCCTTGCCCGGGGGTTGTTTGCCCGAACAGTGACGAGTATATTTCATAAATAAGCTCATCCACTGGGCTGCCTCCTTCACTGCTTCCTTTCGGTGACGGTCTCTGTCTACACAAGGCAGTAGTAGAGGAAGAGGATTTTTAATCTCCTTCTCTCCTCCCACCCCCGGCCTGAGGTGGGGAGCACCCCTGCCCACTGCCAGCACAGGGATCTGCTCATCCTTCCTGACTGGGAGAGTAGTGGGGATTTCCATACCCCATTCCCATGCCGAGGATGGGAGGGGGAAGTAGTGAGAATTTTCACCCCTGCCCCCACACTCCTGGCACTTGCTAGGTGTACACCCACACCCTACCTGGGTTTTGGTTTAAAAAAAAAAAAAAAAAAGGGGGGCCCTCATTTATAAGGTTGCCAGGTGTCCAGTTTTCGACCAGAATGCCTGGTTGAAAAGGGACCCTGGTGTCTCCAGTCAGCACCACTGACCAGGCCATTAAAAGTCTAGTTGGTAGTGCAGGCAGGCTCCCTACCCGGCTCCACACAACTCCCAGGAAGTTGCCAATCTCCCTCTGGCTTCTAGGCAGAGGGATGGCCCAGTGCCATCTCAGCTGCTCCCATTGGCCGGGAACCACTGAGCACTGAGAGCCATGTGCTCGCGCCTCCGCTTAGGACCCAGGGAGATGCCAGCAGCTTCCCGGGAGCCACCTGAGGTAAGCACCACTTGGAGTCCACACCCCCTCCTGTACGCCAAACCCCTCATCCCTGGCCCCACCCCAGAGCCTGCACCCAAAGCCGGAGCCCTCACCCCCCTGCACTCCAGCCTGGATCCATTTCCTGCACCCTGAACCCCTCATTTCTGGCCCCACCCCGGAGCCCGCATCCTCCAGCCCAGAGTCTGTACCGCATCCCAACCCCCTGCCCCAGCCTGGAGCCCTCTCCTGCACCCCAAACCCCTCATCTCCAGCCCAACCCCGGAGCCCACTTCCCCAGCTGGAGCTCTCACCCCCTCCCGCACCTCTGCCCCAGCCCAGAGCCCTCTCCTGCACTCCAAACTCCTCATCTCTGGTCCCACCTCCAGAGCCCGTTTCTGCAGCCAGAGCCCTCACCGCCACTCCCCCCCCCCCCCCCTGCAACCCAACTCCCTGCCCAGTGAAAATGAACAAGTGAGCAAGGGTGGGGGAGAGTGAGCAGGGGCGTGGCCTTGAAAAAGGGGCAGGGGCGGGGGCAAGGGTGTTTGGTTTTCTGCAAATAGAAAGTTGGCAACCCCACTTATTCAACATTTCAAGAAATGGGTGCAGGACACTAATGAAGCATAAAACATGATTACTCCCCTGAAGGATTGGGGCAAAACACAGTAACGGTGTGTGGCCTCAGGATAAGATACACCTCCCTTTGAGTAAGAGGCACTGATTTGTGGGTGAAGTTAAGGCCACATGAAGGCACCCCCACCATACCACCCACATGATCCAAGCAAGACTGGAGGACCTTCAATTTATGAAATAGGAAAGTCACTAGTGCTCCCCAAGAAACAGAGAATTACTGTTTTTCTACATGGTTATTCACTTCTGGTCACTTCAGCAGAAAGTAGAATAATTGACATACCCCAAGTCCTTCAACATAATGAGCTCTAATCTACGTCTAGTACAGGGGTCGGCAACGTTCGGCACGCAGCTCGCCAGGGTAAGCACCCTGGCGGGCCGGGCCAGTTTATTTACCTGCTGATGCGGCAGGTTCGGCCGATCGTGGCCCCCACTGGCCGCGGTTCGCTGTCGCGGGCCAATGGGGGCGGCGGGAAGCCGCGGCCAGCACATCCCTCAGCCCGCGCCGCTTCCCGTCGCCCCCATTGGCCCAGGACGGCAAACCGCGGCGAGCGGGGGCCGCGATCGGCCGAACCTGCCATGTCAGCAGGTAAATAAACTGGCCCGGCCCGCTAGGGTGCTTACCCTGGCGAGCCGCGTGCCGAACGTTGCCGACCCCTGGAGTACATCCTTTATAAGGTTTCAGATTAGTTATATGAAAACTGGCATTTAAAAACAAACAAACAAACAAACAAACAAACAAACAAAAATCAGAACTGAAGCTTAAGTAATGTCTTGAACACCCAAATAATTGCTTTGGTGACAAGAAATTTTAGCTTTGGATCTTATGTTTTAACAGACTCAATATACTGTTGTCCTAGTAAAAAGAACA